TAATAAAACCATTAAATAAAAATTTTAATAAAATTAAAACGCGTTTGTTTTGTTTTTTTGTTTTTTTTTTTTTTTTTAATTTCTCCTGTCATTTTTTTTTTTTAATTTTTTTGTCTTCTGCTTTTAAGATAATTTTTTTCGATAATTACGTAATCATGTTTAAAATAAATAAATAAATAAATACTTTTAGTGGGGGAATAATTTCATGACATCATTCACCGCCGAACGCGACTTTTTTTTTTTTTATTTAATTAAAAAATTTTTTTTTTTTTTTTTTTAATGGGAAATTCACTCATTAACGCAAGGTGGTGAGGGGAAAGAGAAAGAGGGGGGTAAGTAAGGAAGGGGTTTATCGTTAATTACTTCCACGTTTCCTCCCTTCGCCCCCCAAAAAAAAACAAAATTTTTTATTTTCATTTGCTGCACACGACGAAAAATACGAAATTAAAAATTTTAAAAAAATTTTTTTTTCATTTAAACGTTATTTAATTAAACATCGGGAAAAATAATTCGTGGCAGTAGAATTTTTTTTTATATCAAAACAAAAATTTAATAATAATAATAATAATTTGCATCGAAAACAATTGTAAATATATATATTTTTAAAAAAATCCCCTTAAACTTTATTTTTTTTTAATCGTTTTTTTTTCACTAAAATGTCCTCTTGTATACATTTTATGTCCCCTTAGGAGTTAATAACCGGGTAAACGAATGCATTTTTATCAAGTTTTATCTTTCTCTCTCTTTCTCTCTCTCTCTCTCTCACTCTTTTCCAGCAGCATCGAATTTTTTTTTTTTGGACCATTTAAAAACCCCCTCGTTAACGCGTAACGAGGGGTTCTTTTAATAATTCAACTATATAACTAAAATGGAAAAAAAAAAAAAATTAAAAACTTATTTTTTTCGAAAACTTTTTTTATTCCTGCTGTTTTTTTTTGTTGTTGTTGTATCGACAAACAACAACGACAAACGTCACGAATTGTAGCAGTAGCAGTAGAAGATTTTATAAAATGATTATAAACAAATAAAAAAAAAATTATACACGGTGTGAGACGTCGATAAGTAAAAAATTATTATCATCATCATCATCGTGTTACCGTTTAACCCCGTTAAAATTTTTTTTTTTTCTCCTGCCACGTTTTTACTTTTTTTTTCAAAACCTGAAATTGCAATTTCCGGTTGTTGCGGTTATATTTTATCTTTATTTAGATGTTGAAAAAAAAAAAAACACTTTAAAAAATTTTTTTTTAATAACTCATTCATCTTAATTGAAAAAAAAAAATTGATTTATTTATTTATTGGTAACAACCACAACAACAACAACAACAACTACAAACGAAAAAACTATTACAAAACACACTCAAACTCTATATAATTAACATTAATAATTTTACAAAAAAAAAATTATCATCATTATTATAAATTTTTTTCAATCGTACTGACCTAAAAAAAATTTTTTTTAACGCCTTCGAAAAAAAATCATCATTATTATTATTTTAACGGGAGTCAGAACAACAACAACAACAACAACAACAACCGATATTTACCCCCTAAAAAAAACTCACTTTTCCTTATCAAAATCACATGTCAAATTGTCTCTCAATGAAGGTTTTTTTAAAGGGATGAAAATTTAATTTTTCCTTTTTCTTTTTTTTTTGAAAAAAAAAATTGTATTGGATATGAAATTTTTTTTTTTTTTTGTAACGTTGGCAATAGGGAAAAGAGAGGAAATGATAATAATAACGTCGCGAAAAAGTATTTGTTTAACAATAAGATTTGTTTAAAAAAAAAAAAATTAATAATAAATATATATAAAATTCAATTGATTTTCAATTTATCGATTCGTATAATTTAATAAAGTTTTATAATTTAACGACTATTTCACGCCGAATTAAAATAAAAAAGGGATGGAATGGGATTCTAGAATGTAAAAAAAAAAAAATGATAAAGGTTTTTTTTTCGAACGAGAAGAAAGGGAAAAACCGGAAGAGGAGGGGGAGGGTGGTAAGTTAATTTTTGATTTGTATTTAACCCCCTACGGACATTTTTACATTATTATTGAATTAAATATTTGCTAAATGTAACAACATTGAGAGATGCTGCCAAATGTCTCCATTTTCATCTTCTTTTTTTCCCATTCGTTTTCTCTCGAAATAATAATAATGATAAATACGTACGTATACTTATCGATAATAATTCGATACTCGAATAGATTAAATTTAAAATCGATTTTTAAAAAATTTTCAACAGTTTTTTAATTTTTCAAGAGTTATTTTCCAGTACTTAAACTGCCCCCCGTAAAAAAAAAGAGTGATAACATCTGTCAAAAATAATTTAAACGTGGCACTAGTAATCAAAATTATTATTATTATTTTTTTTTTTTTTAAATTTGAATATTTTAACGATAATAAGATGGAGAATAAAAAAAAAAAAGAAATTGACGGCTTAAATTACCGGACGTAAAAACTTTTCTCTTCCTAAGGGATTTAAAAAAAAATTTTCCCGAAGTTTGTTGTTGTTGTTGTTGTTCACCCTTAAAAAGGCAAAAAAAAAAAAAAAAATTTCAAATTAAAAAATGATAATCCTTTTTTGGTTTTCTTTTTTTCCTTTACCCCACCTCACCCCCGGACAAAAAGATTAAAATTATTTAAAGTTTATATTCGACGTTCATGAGATTCATTATTGCGGGATTATTTTATAGAAAAAAAAAAAAAAAAATCCACCCCGAAAAAAAAAAAAGATAATCCTACCCTTAAGAGGGTTTGCAAACAATATGTCTTTTGTTGTCCAAGTGTTAATGACGGGTATTGGTTGTACATAAATATATTTAAATTTGTTACGTCGTTGAATTTCTTATTTGTAAAAAATTATAATTAATATAGGTGCGTTTGTATGGATGCGGTTTTAATTCTAGTCTCCCTTTCCCTTCCCCCTCCTTCCCCCCTACGTTGTTTGTTGTTGTTACACGAAAACATTACAACAACTACTACCTGCGATTTCACACGTTTTAAAATCCGATTATTTATTTATTTTAAAAAAATTATTTTTTACTCGTTTGTTTACGAAAGAAACGTTTAATAAAAATTCTCATTTTTGATTGGTTGAAATATTGGTCGGATTCACATCACAGACTCCTCCTTTTAAAAGAAATTATTTTTTTTTTAAAACAACCATAATCTAGTCTTAAATCTTTTTTTTTTCTTTTGGTTCTTCACGCAATTAAAAAACTAAAACCAATTAAACTTGTTAAGAAAAAAAACGTTTGTTCAGTAAGAGGAAGAGAGGGGGGAAGGGGAAGGGGAATGGGAATGGGGGAGGTGGAAACGTTTTAAAAAAAAAGTTTTCAGGTTGTCACTCACGTCGTCGTCATCCTCACTCATCATTCTCAATTTTTTATTTGTTTTTTTTTTCGTTTGCAGACAAACATCCGATGGTATAAATTTTGTTTGTTATGAAACATTTTCGATGAAAGTTATAAAAAACAACACGAGGAGGAAAAAGGGTAAGAGGAGAGGAGGAGAAGGAGGATAACCTGAAAATATACCGTATAATAAAATTTCGTTTTTTTTTTTTCTCGTTCCATTTTTTCCTCTTAACTTCCGCGCCCCCCTTTTCTCTCTCTCTCTCTCTCTCTCTCTCTCTCTCTCCGTATGTGCTTTTTCACATTTTTTTTTTGTGTCGTTTTCTCCATAAAATTTCATTACTCCGTATGAAAAATAAAATAAATATTACGGGATAAAAGCAAGTAAATGTGTGGTTAAAATGAAAAATATCTGATTATAATTTAATAAAAAAAAAATCAATGGACGAAAAAAAATGTCCGCAAATTACTTTCTCATCTCGTTTTATTAAATTTTTTTTTTTTTTTTTATACGTTGATGTTAATAATAATAATAATAAAATGCTTTTTAAAAAAAAAAATTTTTTTTTTTTTTCCTTTTACGCTCCTTTTTTTTTTTTTTTGCTCCCCCAAATTACGTATTAATAATAATACGTAGGCGCGAGTGTTTCACTAAAAAAAAAAAAAAAATAAAATAATTTTTCCATTCGTTTTTAAAAAATTTTTCTTATTATTTTAAATTATTCATTTCGTTATTATTATTATTATTATTATCAGTTTTTAGTTCGAAAAGATTAATTTAAAAAAAAAAAAAATTCGGAGAGTGAAAGTCTGTGTGAAAGAGAGAGAGAGAGAGTAAATGAAGAAAGTTTTTTTTTTTTTTTATTTCGTTAAAGGAAAATCAATTAATCGTCGTTTAAAAATAAAAATTTTATTATCACGATAAATAATAATAATGATGATAATAATGATAATAATAATAAGTAGATTTTTTTTATTGTTTAAAAAAAAAATTGGAATAAATCAAAAATGGCGCGAATTTTTTATTTAAAAAAAATAATTTTTTTTTTTAATTACATCGAAAAATAAAATTATTGTAAAATAATTAAAAAATCGATTATTAACTTAACACAAAGTCAGTCTTTTTATTTTTTCATTTTTAAATAAAAAAATTAGTGACAATAGGGAAAAAAAGAAAACACTTTTTATTATTATTATTATTAATTTTTTTTTTTAATTGTTTAAATCAGTTTTGAGTGAAAAATTATTTTAAAAAAAAATTGAAGGAAAAACAATCAAAAGCAACAACAACAAAAACAAAATAATAATAATAATAATAATAAATAGGAGAAAAAATAAAATAAAAAAATAAAATAAACCGCTTCTGGGGAGCCATTAAGAAAATTAAATAAAAAGCCAAAGGAGTAGTTTTATTTTTTTTTTTTTTTTTTTAAAAATATATAAAGAGCCCTGATGGAATTATATTAAACTCCCCACTATGATAATAACAAATGAAAGGAAGAAGGAGGCTGCGCACTCTCCCGTTCGCGCTCTCTCTCTCTCTCTCTCGTATCCATGGAACGCGTAATACGCGTACCTCAGAATTAAAAAGGGGAAGGGAAAACGGTGGAGCAGAAGAGAGGCGCGGCTCCGGTTTTTCATGGCGGAAGGCGGGATTTCTCCAGAGACTCCAGTGCACTCGCGACCATGGACGGGGAGAGCGGCGATTCGAGTTCGAGCTCCACATCGCTCAGTTCCAAATCCGAATGATTCCGAATGCCACCGGAAATCGGGTGATAATATAATGTGCGTGCCCCCGGATGTAACCACTCCCACGCACCCGACTGATTTTTCGCTCAAATTTAACAATAATATACCGAGGTTTTTGTGGAACGATCCAAGAACTATTATCGATAATAAAAAAATTGATATGTTACAACAAAGGGATCATGGGGATATAATAAAAAATATTAATACGGAAAGTGATAATTATAATAACGTTTACGGTGGTAACAATCGCGAAAACAATCAAAGGATCGCAGATTTTATTATAGCTAACAAAGAATATCGTAATAATTTTAATATCGGACAACCATCTTCTGATAGTGCAATCGGATATGTAAACAAAGAACAAACAAGAATGAGAGCGACGGATTTTGCTGTCGCTTTAAATTACAACAAGGATCTCCATAGAACGTCAGATTTTGCCGGTATGATACTCCAGCATCACCAAAGGTTTGTACCTTCCTACCTTTTATTTATTATGTTAATAAAAAAAAATTTTTTACGTTATGAACCCGTGTAAACAATAACAAATTATAATTTAAACGAAAAAAATAAATAATCAATAATAATAATAATAATAATAATAATAATTTTTAATTCATTTGCTTTTTTTTTAATAACAAATATTTACGGTTTTATCAACAAAATAATAATAATAATAAACCGATAAACAAACGTGATAATGTTATCAAAAAGTAATTTTTGAAGTAATAATTTAAAGAGGGGGAGGATCTTTAATGTTTATCGATATATAATTTTATTTACGTAATCATATTAATAATGATAATGATAACGATGGAAAAGAGTAAAAAAAAAAATTTAATTTTAGGGGAAATTTTCCCCCTCCCTCCTTCGCAAGGTTTACTTTTATCATTATTATTATTATTAATAAGTGAATAAATAAATAAATAAATGATGAGAGTAAGAGGTAATCATTGAATTTATTTATAATCACATTATCGTTATCAAAAATATAAAAGCAGAAGAAAAATTAATAAACAAATAATTTCCAACGTTTTTGTTTATATTGCGTGAGGATGTGTGCGTGTGCGTGTGCGTGCACGTCGATCATCGTAATTATTTTATTAAAAACAAGTAAAAAATGGCGATCAATAAAACAATAATAAAAAGTTAATAATAATAATTATTATTATTTTTGCGTTTTTTGCTCTCCGACGGCAAACGACGTTTTTATAATTTTTATACGAAAAAGTTTTATTAATTAATAAATAATAAAATTATTAATTAATAATCCAATTTTCAACGATTGAACATATTATTTAATGATATTACGCACATTTTTATGTAAATATTACGCGTGCGTTCACAGAAAAAAGTGACACACGCATACACGCGCGTAAATTTTTTTTTTTTTTTTTACTAAAATTAATATTTTAAGTTTATTAGCCGCACCACCATCACCACCACCACCGCCTACCACCACAATGTAAAACACGAACATTAAATTAAAAAAATTTTTTTTTCGGGGGGGAGGGAAGGGGGATGGAGGAAAAGAGAGAGGGTGGGAATTTTTGTCGTCGTCGTTGTTAAATAAGTAAAATAAATTTAAAATCGATAATTTTATTTAAATAAGTTTTTCTCATATACTTTCAAACGCACATACGCACGCACACACACACACAACAAACGACACGCTCCCCTCCCTCCCCGCTTCCCCCTCATTTTTTTTTTATTAAATGCCTCAAAGGTTATTGTTAAACAACCGAACACGCTATGATAATAACATGCAGATTTTGACGTAAGGTTGTTTTATACCGCGATGAAAAACATTTTACGACGCCGAATTTTTTCTTATTTTTTTTCTTAAATCGTTTGTTTGTTTCATTCTAGCGAATGGAAATTAATTTTTTTTTTTTTAATTTTGTTTTTCTTTGTACGTTTGCTTTTATTTTTTTCCATTTAAAAACGAAACAAACAAACAAACATAAGCAAAATTATTTAATTTTTTCGTTTGTTTTTTCTTATCCGAACCTATTCGTGCGCATTTTTTTTTTTTTAAATTATTCCTTCGTGTCAAATTTTACCAAACAAACACTTCTCATAGTAATAATAATAATAATAAAATTAATAATAATAATGATAATAATATTAATAACAACAATAAATGTAATAAAAAAAATGATTTTTTTATCAAAATGGCGAACATTTGATATTACGTTAAACGTTTTAAAAATTAATAATATCCTTGTTTGTTAAATAATTAATAATAATAATAATATTACTCATTTGTTAAAATTAATTCGAAATCGATTATGTTCATTCGTGTGTGTAAAGAGAGAGAGAGAGAGGGGGGGGGAGAGAGAAAAGTCAACTCAAACTTGAAAATATGTTTATTACAAGGTGAGATAATTAATTTATAAAAATCTCTTAACGGTTAATAAATTCGAGTTTTTTTTTTTTTTTAATTGATTAATCATTTCAATTTAATATTAATTAACGAAACGATTGAAAATTAATAATGATAATAATAATAATAATAATAATAATAATATTAATAATATATTTTATTCGTACCTGAAATTAATAAATTTTTGTATTATAAAAAAAAAAACCTGTTTTAAATGCGTACCGATTTCATAAAGTGAAATTAAAATAACATTTTATTTATTATTATTATTATTATCATTATTATTATTACTGTTGTTGTTGTTGTTGTTGTTTTTAATAGTGTTATAATTAGTATTATTATTATTAAAATTAAAATTATTTCATTCTTTTCTTTTTTTTTTCTTTAACGTTTTCGTTTGCCAACAGAGCTTTGGGATTATCGTTAAAACCGGCTCATTTGAGCACGACAGCATCACTTCAACACAACAGCGGTCCACGGCATACGATAGACGCCATATTAGGTTTGGGAAGTAGAAGAACTCCGCCGATAAAAGAATCTCAAGAAAATTCAAACAGAAACGGAAACGAATCCAGCGGTAAGTTAAATTTTAATATTTAATCTTCGAACCCCCCCCCAAAAAAAAAAAAAAACCAATTAAAATCTAATTTTATATCTAGGGATTTTAGTATTCGTTAATAATAATAATAATAATAATGTTAAACTTTCGTGAAATATGATAGGAGATGGGTCGTGTTGTTGTTGTTTTCTTATAAGCGTGATTGATAAACGTTCGTCAATGTAATAATAAGATTGTATGTTTTAACAAGCTAAATCCAAATATGTGACTAATACGTATATAAAAATTAATTGTAAAACAATCTTTTTTTTTCCCCCAAAAATTAATTGTGTGCGTGTGTGTGCGTGCGTGCGTGCGTGCGCGTGCGTGTACGGTATGCGTGAATGCGTGCGTTCAATCGATCGCAACGAATGGAAAGAGAACTCGTAAATTAAATTAAAACGAAAAAAAAAAAAATTATTTTTTGTGAAATCATTAGGGCCCTCCCTCCTTTCCGCCTCTTCCCTCCGCTACCCCTTCCCACTTCCTCCATTCCTGCCTCACCCCCCGACAAAGTGAATGTTGACGAATTAAATTTAAATTTAATTTTTTTTTTTTTAATAATATCTATAACTTTGTAACTTTCAAATTAACTTTCAAATTATTATCATTATCATTAATTTTTTTTTCGTACAATTTGGCAATGTTGACGCAAGTAATTTTTTCAATTACCTTGGGAAAATTATTATTATTATTATTATTATTATTATTATTATTATTATTATTTAATTACGTATATTTTTTTGACGACAATCGAAAGTGATTAAAGGTTATTAAAAAAAAAAAAATCCGTTCGAATTTTCATTTTATAAAAATGTCCGCCGTTTGTGACGTCATAGTTTTCCACGATTTAATAAAAAAAATGAAATGGTTTTCGACCCTGCGTGGTTGCGTATGTGCGTACATACTCGTTTTTTTTTTTTTTTTTAAACAAAACCCTATTTGGAAAAAAAAAGAAAAAAAAAAATTTATAAACCTTCGTGAATATTCCCGTTAAAAATTTTTTTTAACGTTTTTTCCGCGCCAACTTTTTAAAATGTCGAATGGTCATTATTATCATTATTATCATTATTATTATCATCATTAATAATTTAATAACAAGTTAAACAGGTAATAAAATACATCGCGTTACGATGTATTTTTTTTTTTTATCTAACAAACAAAGTTTTTAACACGGTTCGTTGATTCATAACTTATTAATTAGCCATCTTTAATTTTTTCAACACCTTAATTATTATTATTATTATTATCAAAAGAGTAAAAAAAAAAAAACCCGCGTACTATAATGGTACCCGAACAATGATGATAATAATAATAATAATCGTTTGGATTGTTATGTGTAATTAATAATTATAATTTAAACAACAATGAAAAACTTTTCTTTTTTTGATACCTGTTAGTACGCACATTCGAAAAAAAAAAAGTTTGAAAATACGCGCGCGTACAGACGCGTAAAAACGCGCGTAAAATTTCATATTTAAAAAAAAAATAAAATAAATTTTTTTTATCCTCTTTCCTCGTTTATTTTTGCTTCGTCATCTTTTCTTGCTTTATTTTTTTTTATTTTTATTTTCCCTCGCAATCTTCTTATTATTGTTGATATTAAAAAGGGGTTTCGAGGGGAGAGAGGGGAGGGGGGCTCTAAAATTTTATCGTCACAACTCAATTAAATTGGGGAGAAATAAATTGCTGCCGAAAAAAAAAGGTAATTGTTAAATTAAAAATGGACCCCGATTTAATATTTTGTACAATTCGGACAATTTCCAAGAGCTAAAAGTTCAAAAAAATAATAATGATAATAATAAATATCTTTCGTTTGATTTTTTTGGGGGACCCCCGCTCCCCTTGAACTCACGACGACTTACGAAAAATTATTTGTCAAACAATAAAAACCAAACATTCGAGATTTGATTAATGAAAGTTTATTTTAACCTTTTTATATGTAAGATACGTCATCGCCGACCGTCATCATCGTCACCATCATCATCATCGTCATCATCAACGTCATCACCTTTAATCGACCGTAAAATTATTATTATTATTATTATTAATATTCGATTTAATTTAAATAAAAAAAAAATATAAAAAACTTTTTTTCTCATGCGTTTTCATCTCATTTTTTTTTTCCAACATCCGGAAATAACCCGCAATTTTTATATTCCACATTCCCCAATAATAATAATAATAATAATAATAATAATAATAATGATGATGATGATGATGATGATGATGATAATGATGATAATACGATATAAAAAAAAAAAACAAATTTAATTTAACCGGGTAACAACAACAAATGATTTTGCATAATATTAAATAAAAGGAAAAATAATTTGACCGGTTAATAAATAAATAAATAAATAAACAACAACAACAATAATTAATAATAATGATGATGATGATAATTACATGAAAGTCGAATAATTTTATTCTTACGGTTACGGTAAATTAAATTCTCATTTAAATCATTCGAATGTTTTCCTTAAAAAAATTAAAAATTAAAAAGTTATTATTATTATTATTATTATTATTATTATTATTATTATTATTATTATTATTATTATTATTATTATGAATGAGTTAATACAATAGAGCGTTAATTATTTCGTTTAGTGAAAAAAAGGGACGGTTAATAAAATAAATTTAAAAAAGGGGGTGGGTGGGGAGGGAGGGTCACGAAAAGGTCAAAAACAATCGAGTTTATAAATAAAAAAAATTATTGATCATTCATTAAACTTTAATTAAAAATATGCAAATAAAATCAAAAAAAAAAAAAACCACTGATGATGATGATGATGATGATGATGATGATGATAATAATAATAATAATTAAGGTACGGTCGATCAATAATTTTCAACAATCGATGAATTTATTTAATTTTTGATTTAATGAATGTTTAAACGTATCCACGCATAATAATAATAAATCAAGCGAGTTTCTTAACTTTCCACACTTCCCCACCCCATTTGCACTTTGACCTCTCATCTTTACCTGCTTTCCTTCATTTCACACCCTCTTCTCCCCATCGATAGAAAAAAAAACGTTTTAATTTAAAAGTAATTAATTAATCAAAAAAAAAAAAAAGGAAAAAGGTGCCGAAAAACAAATGATTTCGGGTCATCAATGTCGAAAAACAATTATTACCAACATAAATAGTTTTCACACGTTGGTATTACCAACTGCTGTGGCTTATAATAAAACTTAATTATCCTCATTAATTTAGTTAAAAAAAGAGGTAGACGAAAGAAAGAAAAAAAAAAACAATAATTTTTCAAAACTAATAAAGTTTTTTCCTTTTCGTTTTTTTTTTTTTTTTTTATTTTCTCTCTCAATCATTTTTTTTTTTTTTTCGTTCGGCTTTCACGTTTTCTAACCGTTTTTTTTTTAATTACGTTTTGCTTCTGATTGACAGGTTTTAATAAAGGCATCAGGTGCATAGAGAGAGAGAGAGAGAGAGATGAGAGAAAAACCCGGCAAATTAGAGAGTTTTTTTTTCTTTTTTTTTTTTTGTAACGTTGGCATTATAAATTTAACCTGACTGACGTTTTCACTAAAAGAGTTTTTCTCTCTCTCCTCTCTCTCTCTCTCTTATTTTTTTTTTAAATGCGTAAAATTGTTTTTTTTTTTTACATGTGCCTGAAATTTAAAATTCACTTTATTAACCGTGGGATAATTATTAAAATTTTTGACGTTTCGTAATATTAATAATAATAATAATAATAATAATAATAATAATAATAATAATAACAGTAATAATTCTTTTTATTACTTTTAAAATACGCAGTAGGCATATATATATAAATATTTGTTTTTCCATCGAAATTTCCTTACGTAATTTTAATTTTTTAAAAAATAAAAAAATGGCGTATGCACGTACCTTCCTTTTTACTAGAGAAGAGGGGGGAAGAGAGAGAGAGACAATAAAAAATAAAAAATTTTTTTTTTTTTTTATACACGAAAAAGTTACGGTTTCCCAGTCGCCATTTTTAAAAATAGTTAAATAAAAATTATTTGTTTGTCACGGAAATTATCAAACGTAATAGTAATTTATAGTAGTCAAACATGGGAGATAAAAATAACCAATTTACTTTTATGGTCGAACTAGAAAGTATATATAAATGGATTAACCGTTTTTTTTTTTTTTTTTTTCTAAATTAATAATAATTTTGTGACAAAATGTTTTAGGTAAAAATTTCAAATCGTCATGCAATGCTATCGCGATTAAATAAAATATATATATAAAGAGGGAGAGTGCGGGGCAAAATTGAAAAAGAGAGAGAGAGAGAGAAGGAAAAAATTAAATGTTGGAAGGGAAAAAAGAAAAAGAAATGAAACGCGACATCAAGACAAAACCCTTGGAAAAATTGTTTTTTTTTTGTTTTTGTTTTTCTTTCGGAAAAATAAATAAAACGCTTTTCACTATTATTATTATTATCGTTATTATTATTATTATGAACGCGATTAATAAAAAACAAAGAAAGAAAGAAAAAAAAATTGAAGTACATTTATCTATTTGCTCATGTTCTAAATAGCTGTCAGTTTGTCGTGGTGGCACGCAAACACGCTTTTCATTTTACCAGCACCCATTCTGACAGTCTAATCAACTAAAACAATTTTTACCCCCCTTTCACCCCCTCCGGTTTTGCCCCCCACCTCATTTTTCCCAACCCCTCACGTCCTTACCTATTTACCTACCTGCCCGATTTCTTTTAAATAATTTTTATTTTTTTTTCTCTCTTTCAATCCATATCATTATCATCATCGTTAAATGTTATCAACAATAAAATTAATAATGATAATAATAATAATAATAAAGACGACAAATTAAAATAATTAAAACCGGAAAAACGAAAAAAAGAAAAAAAATTTTTTTTTTTTCGGAGACGCCAATACTCGAATATCCATAAAAAAAAATTTCTTTTTTTTTCCTTTTTTTTAATCGAAACATTAGTAAAAAAAAAAAAAAAGTAAAAAATGTTGGTACGATTGAGTGGGTAATTAAATTCACGTTTAAAAATTATTATAATTTAACGAGGGAATTTTCTAGAAAATTTTTAACGAGGGAAAAAAACATAAAAAAAAAAAAAAGTAACCGGGAGTGATTGCATGTTATAAATTCGTTATATAAATATCAATCTTAGTTAACGTAAATTTTATTATTATTATTATTATTATTATTCAAAGGGGTGGGAGCGGCCGTTTACAATTTTGAAATTTTATTTTGTTAGTTAGTCAGTTAGTCAGTTAGTTAGTTAGTTAGTTAAAAAAAAAAAAAAACTAAATTGCATGACTGAAATTTAATGTATAAGCGATTAACTCACTAATCAGAGATTAATTTCGAACGCTATTTTAATTATTTTATCGTTACAAAAAAAAAAAAATTCCAATTTTTTTTTTTCAAACATATTTACGGGTAAATAATTATAATTAATTACCACGTAATTATTATTAATAATAATAATAATAATAATAATTTTTTTTTCGTAAAATAATAAAACGATTTTCAGGTAACCAAAAAAAAAAAAAAAACAAAATTTTTTGAAAGTAACTTTTTATACAGTTGTAATTTTTTCCACATATTTTTTTTTTATGTCTAATAATAATAATAATAATAATCGGAGGCAGACGGTGGGAAGGCGTCAACGCACTTCTTCTTCATATACCAAAAAAAAAAAAAATCGCGTCTGAACATTGTTAATATGTTTTCAAAATGTTAAAAACTTAGTGTTCACCTATCTTGTAGCCTACCTGGAGTTTTTTTTTTAAATTTTATTTTAAATTGAACTATTGTACCCATGTCAAACTTATCAACAAACTCGTTACCTACTACTACGACTTACACTACTCAACAATAATCTTTTTGTTTTAAAATAATTTAATAAAATGGTTGACGTAATCATCCATCCTGTCTATTCTCTTGTCACTTATTATTTTAACTTTTAAGATTCATTTTTACGATAGAGACCTGATAAAATAAAATAAAATAATAATAATAATAAATTAAAAGAACACAACGAACAAAAAAAAAGGAAAACCTCCTCCCATTAAAAACGATTATAAATAATAATAAAAAAAACAAAAATTGCAGTGGCAGCGTGATGAAAATATGTTTACAACCACGTTCTTGAGTTTTTTCCTTTTCCGAGACAATGGTATTGAATCAAAGGAATGCACGAAGAGTTTTATAAAACTGCAAATGTTACAGTCGACAATTGCGGAAAACTTCTTCGGAAAAGAACTTAAAAAAAAGACGCAAAAAACGTAGAGATAAGAACGACGATTTAAAAAAAGTTGTTTAAAAAAAATGGCAGCTTGTAAAATTTTACAACGTGGCAAAAGAATTAAATTATTAAGCTACCGCAAAAATAAAAAACACATACACACACACACACATAGAGAGAGAGAGAGAAAATTAAGATAATTTATCTTAACTTGTCATTGTTGTTGTTATCATTATTCTTTTTGACTGGTTTTCAACCCTCCCACCCTCCCCACTCCCTCCCCTTCAATTTTTTTGTAGATTTTATCAATGATGATTGTCTAAAAGCTTTTAGCATAGAAATTATACACTAGAAATACCGTTTTATCCAGATTATACACACCTTTCAAAACACTTCTTAACTTAATTGATGACGTTTTTTCCTTTTTTTTCCTTTTCTTTCACGGTAATTATTTGATTTTTTTTTTTTTTGCCTTTATGACTTTTAAATATTATCTTTTTAAACGTGGAAAAAGACAAAATCAAACGGAGAGAGGGTGGTGGTGGTGGGGGAGAGAAAAAGTAACATCCGAAAATATTATTTCCGCATTTAAAAGAAGGTATGGATTACGAACGAGGAAAAAAGTGGATTCTATTTTTTAAAAAAA